CGTTTGTGGCGTCACGCGTTAGGAGGGAGTCGGGTTGCAGAGCGGTAAGCAGGTACCAAAACATGTCCACTAAAACAACTTGTACAAACGGACACACACGGGATACGATGTGTAAAGAAATAAGAAGCGAACCCCGGTCTCACATTTGACAGACATCATCAGTGCGCACAAACCATTCATCCTCCCACTGGAAACTCATTATGCAGTCAACCAGTCCTCCACAATAAAATCGACGTGCAAAACCAGCAAGATAGTAGGGATCGTCCTTCTGGACACAAGACGATTTTTATGTTAATATACCCTGAGCCAAACCGGCGAGACAACAAACTCGTGGCTCAGTGGTTATGGCATTTGACTCTGATCGAAAAAGTCGCGTGTTCGAGGCTCGGATAGGACACCACTTGAGTCTGGGTATGACTGGCTGATGACGGCTCATAAGCCAGAAATAACCGTTCCAGTCTCCCTTGTCTTTGTCGACAATACTATCTGCTTACTGCACTACCAGCTGCTACGGCTGTTAAGGCCTCTGTCGAGACCCAAGGCAGAGCGGGACAGGTGAGTTCCGTTAGTGGTCGGGTGAACGTGCATCAATGAGAAGTACTGACTACCTGCCCACTTTGGATAGTTAGGCCTAATACCGACTTTCAAGAACCGTGTCAGGGGAACACTTGTTGATTAATTTAACAGTTGAAAGAGATGGACAAGAAAGCCTTTTTGGTAGCATTTCATTCGCTCATCTACTGACAGATAGAAAAGCGAGATCGGACGCGCTGTTTCTGGCTCATTTCATGTCCTCCTGTCGATCACAGGTAACATCCAGCTGGCAAGAACCGAGGTGCCAGACCAGACCCGAACGTACGATTCGGCTCAAGGCGGGAGATCTCCCACGTATAGACATAGGTACAAGCAATCATTTATCGCGAAATGTCGGTGAAGATGACAAAATAAGTCAACCAGAGCCACCATTCGACTATGTAGCTTCTAAGCAGTGGGTGTACTTGGGACACTACAATCATCAGGTCGAAACCCAAGATTATTTGGGATAGGGTTATACTCGCCAGAATGCGGGATTTATTGTGTGAAGAAACCCGCGTTGCTATCTCCGGCAGCTGAGGAGACTGGCGAAGCCAGTGTTAGTGTTGACTGCGTCCAGTCATGCCCGAGTGAGCGTGTGAGGCAGCTGGTTTTATATGGCGATGGAGCAAGTTCAAGTAGTGCCCAATTGGTGTGTGTTGCAGTACCCAAGGGAGTGTCGTGTATTTTGACCCCTGCCGTGGATAGGCAGCCGTGACTATCTGGTACCGCGCGTGTGCGCGTCTCGAAGTGGGTCAAGGGTCTTCAGGTCTGTGAGGCGGAAAGCACTCCCCACGAAGTTGAATTTCCTTTAACAAGGAAGACGGACAGCAATGTTGGCTGTTCACCATAATTGTCCCTTGAAACTGTCATTTATATTGATTATTGATTATCAATTGATCATCGATCCCGCGCCACATCTAACATCCCTGAACGGGATCCCAAGCTAAAATGGAATTACCTGGACATATCGCAGGGGTAAGCAAGTATAATCCTAGCAACTGTGATCCTCAGGCTCGATTCCTTAAGAAAAGAGAAGTCATGAGAGGCCAGAGTGGTAGGGACAGTTTATTCTGTACAGAAGGAATGGAGAATATGTAAGAGGAATCTGACTGTCAGACGAGCGAGCAACCACCGGCCACAGCACCGCGTTGGAAGTGAGGCGACCGCGAAAATCACCACAGCGTCTGGAGCGGTCTTTGAGTGAGTTGGCCTTGACGGGTGATTGGTTAGACAGATTGGCTAGACGGACGGGCGTAGGCGGCCAGCCTGTGTACTCGTTGGCGGTGGTGAGCCTTGGCACATGCTTGCCTGTACAGAGTGAGTTACCACGGACACAGTTCTTCAAGAAAGCCCAACCCCTCGTAACTTACTATTGATACTTAAGCTGCCAGTCAAAAAGCTGCAAGTTCTGTTTACTTAATACTGCGCTTCCGCATTTAACTTGATGCATTTTTGTGATAGGCTGAATTTAACGCACCCCAGTTCAAAAGTCCTGTTCGCTAAGTTATTAGAACTTGGTGTTACTAACTCGTCTGGAGCTATCGTGACCGCTCTTGCACCTAACTTCCTAAGTCAGATCGTCTCTGTCAGAGGAAAAAACTGGTAGGTTGGATGGCGCAGTCTCCAGGTAATTTAGGCGTCACTGACTTACCATCGGACTCAGGAGTGAAGTTATTCTCGGTAATGAGTAAGAATCGCATATTTTCCTTCTTGTTATGTTTGTTCATTAGAAAGGGCTGACAGCAAGGTAGTCCTCTAGACGTTTTTATAGCGTTCGAGCTTCTCAGAAGTGGAAGATACGACTGCTGAAACAAGAATTTCATTTGCCTGACGTTTTGGATTCTGTCAAGAATCCTTAATCGTTAGATAACAATAGGGTAATCGGAGATATACATAAAGTCCGATTATTCGACGGTTACCTATGATTAAGGATTCTCGACAGAATTCGGAACGTCAGGCAAATAAAATTCTTGTTCCAGTGATCGCAGCTTCTTCTGCATTGCTGTCTCCTTCAAAAATACTAGCCGCTGTACCACTGCAGGAGGGGCTCTAGATTGAGCCCCAATGCAGAGCAAAACGAGTAGCTCCCATAACACCATCAGTGTCTGTTCATGATGAATCCGCGACGGATCTCGAAACTTCAGGCAAATAAAAGTGTTGCCCCGGTGATCGCGTTGTCCTCTTCTCAATTTCTGGCTTATTAGCCATCGTCAGCCAGTCATACCTAACAGCAAGTTTTGCACCGCTCAAAGCTCGAACTCGTGACCTTTTGATCTGAGTCTGACGCCACGAGCTTGGTAATACTATCTGCTACAACTGCTGTCAGGGCCCGAGGAATAAGACCCTAAGCAAGGGCTGGGCAAGACAAGTGAGTCCCGTTCCTAAACAAAACATGATGAAAGTGAATTCACAAGCCCGGACTATTCCCACTAAAAAATTTACTACCACTAGCACAAATTTTTGAGAACCTACATAAGCACTTCCTCAAAGCTGGCCGCCGAATTAAAGATTTAATCCGGTTCCACAGATACAGTAGGCAACAAGAGCGACTACTTCGTTTGTCAGTGGCCAACAC